CTTACTCTTCTTTTTCTCTCATCATCCGCCTTTTTCTGCATGGACTCTCGTTGCAGGCAAGCTTTGAGTTTGGTGAAACATTCATGCTTTTCAGCTGCTAATTCATCTCGACGTGCCTTTACTCGTTCCAGCTATAAAACGAAAATTGAAACTTGGAAAACATATTTTTTGAGGATGAAGTAGACATTTCACCTCTGCTTCACATGCTTCCAAGTCTTCGTCAACACGTTCCCTCATTTTCTCTCTCTCACGCTGTTTCTCCTCTGCTGCTCTCCTTTGGGCTTCTCCTAAACAAAAAGAAAATGTTGATATGATATAGTATCTAATAAATAGGCTAAAACTCACTATCTCTTGCTTCCAAACATGTCCGTTTTGCCCTAGCATAGATGTAGCTTCTTACGCGAGCATCAACAACAAGAGGTTTCCAGCCAACGGGAACACATCGTCCTTTATCATATGAAAGCTTCGATTTCTGCCGTGGCGGATGCTGCATAGTACACCTCTGCAGCAGAATAGCAAATGCTAGAAGGACGGGGAATGGACTAACTAATGCAGTATCACTTGGAGAAACCAAAGATCATTCCATTTTGAGTCCGTCTTCAATAGTCATTTCATTCAATCAAAGCACTATACAACATTATCACATATGAACCCACAAATATACAAGACCTGCTTAAGTGACGAAGTGCAATGAAAATCGAATATTAGAACTGCTAGATCGTTTAGGCGAATTTTATTCGCTTTATTAGTTGCCAGAAAGCAAAGAAAAGGTACAGTACATGTCGAAGCAAAAAGAAGAAAAACTTAATTGCGAGAGTAATCCTGGAGATGATAAGGGAAGTGAAGGGAAACAATATACATAATTACACTCGTTTTAAACACCATTCAAATGTCTAGCTGTCCAACTCAAAGCCCTCAGTTGCAAAAACGGCCTTGTGCCATAAGTTCGGCATTCTGCGGCATTGATTCATGATGAATCCAGTAGTCTTTTCCTGTGATAGTGTGTATATTCAACTGCAAAAAAATAGAGAAAACGCTTACAAAACCTGGGAATGCTGATCAATTTCCATTATGGAGATAGGATATATAGAGAGAGATTTGATAATCCTATCTAACTCAGTTTCTGATCGGAAGAAAAACCAATGGTACATGGCGTCAACTCGAAGCACGAGTGCCATATGTGTATCAGTTCGTACTATCCAACCCTTGCGGATATCGGAAAGTGGAAATGACTGGAAGCAAATGTTGGTTGAAAAAGTATAACTTCTACAACAATGACCGGCAAATTACAAAAGAAAGAAGATTTTTATCTTGCGACAAGATATCGTAAGAAAAATTATAGCAGCAGACGAGAAATTGTTAGATCAGAAAATTTGAAAACTTCAGAAAAGTTGCGAACAGAAAAAAAGGAAAAATACTATGCAAAAAACTTCAAAGTTAGTGAAGCAGCTGCAAATTCTGAAACCGAAAATAACACTGACCACCAATGTGCGTATAAATCCATCACTGTAGCACTTCTCTCCTTCTTGTGCAACAACAAACTGTGCTTCGGTGATCATGATCATGCAGGCAGCCGCATCGTCATCGTTCTTCAAAATTGGTTTTAAAATTTAGTACTAAGCTCTTCTAGGGATTTCGGCTAAAGGCAAATGATAGAAGAAAAAAATAACACAGATTAAATTCGTGGTAAAGTGGTCTCCCACTTTCAAAGCAGAATAAAAATCGGGCAAAAACGTGTACAAATTTCCATACTTCATGTATTCTTAGAACAGTACCTGGGAGTTCATCGCTTCATTCACCAATCGCATCCATTTAATCATTTCATCTTTGCTAGGGCACTGAAGTTGTAAATTCCCATTTGGAAGTACAAGTTCAAATCCCCATTGACAATCTTTCTTCGCGTCTAACTCCAAGATTTCAGTGCAATCCCTAAATAACGGTATGCATTGCAGACAGCGGCTTTGAGATCGAAATTCAGTAAGAGATGTAAATGTCGCGCTACTATGACCTAATTTGGATTTATAGAGCCCCGTTGAAGAAGGCAAAGCTTACAAAGGCAATGTGCGGTCAATCAGATTAAATGGCACGGATACCTGGCGGTGGGAGAGAAAATACTACAGATTTGATCGACCTACTAAGTTATTACGCTTACTCAGTGATTACTTCCTCAGCCGTCTCTAGCCTCTTCCGATGGCACAGCTAACGACATGCGATTCAACTCGTCCATGTTATTCCAAAAACTTGAAAACCTCTATTTTGCAATTCTTTACAGAGAATTTATAACCAGTTCCCAAATCGGAGACAAAAGCAATAATTTGAAGTGCAAAGTTAGAGTACTTTCGCACACTGCCTTCAAAAAAAAAAGGCAGAGAGGTGTTTTTAGATGGAGGTAGTATGAAAAAAAAAACAGATCTGTTTATTCAAGTTAGGAACAGGTAAAAGGGAAGCAATACTTTGATCATATAATTCAACAACGTTTGAAGAGACTACATAGATATAAGAAATTACCTACCATAAATTGATAATCAATTCGCCTTCCTTGCATGAAGAGTCCGTAAACAGATACATTTTGGTTCCTCTGTAGAAATAGAAATAACACCGTAAGGAAAACGAAAACAAAGTGTTGATATAATCTTACTTCAACACAAAATAGGATTGCACCCATTCAGCGGGAGGTTTTCTCCACCAATTAGGTTGTACTACCCTGAAATATAAACATGGGCAATAGAGTTTAAAAAAATAAATAGATAGCAAATTTTATGCCTTCTATAAAGATATCCAACAGTCTCTGAACTCTGCTTATCCACTAAAGCAGAAGACTCTTTCCAGTAAACCAGCGCAAAATGTTGCAATTCGATATGCGGCTAGAATAACTACTTGAACTTCAAAGTAATAAATGGCCAAAAGTAAGACGACTCACGCTCACCGCTCCATTCAACTCTTTCGTAAGATATCGTTTGAGTATCAAAGAGTAAGGAGTACTTTCTGTAAAAACAGCGGGCGGTTCGTGATTTCCGCTCTCCGCAGCCTAGATAGGGGAAGGTAAGCTCATTGTTCAGTAAAGTACCCGAGTTGATAACTATACCGTGGTAATTGCTTTCACTATCGCGTTTCCGAGCTGAACGTCGCCTGTAGCTATCGCACATGTTTTGTCTTTGATTCCCTCTGCTTCGGTCTTTACTCGAAAGGGTAGACCACTTTTAGCGTAAAGAATGAGGACCTGAGCATCTCTCGATACCTTAACAGGAACTTGTAGCATGCAAAATGAACTCGTGGTCTTTTAGCCGTATACGTGAGAAAGTCGGATTGTTCTCTCAAAGGTAGTGAGAAGAGAAGAATGGCTTTTGCCTTGAAAAAAAGGGACAAAGAAAATAAAGCATTTAAGACTGAAGACAATGGCATTTTCAGAATTTTTTCAATACAAAACAGCTCTAATGGAGCTAAGATTTTAGGAGCAACCTCCAGAAAAATTTGTCGAGGTATCACTCTAAAGAGAGATCAGTGAAATCAAAAGATGTATTCATAACATCTGATGGCTGCTGCTTACTCCAATGTAATCCACTGTTGGTAACGAGATAACAACATGAACTTCGTAGAACACATTGCGATGGCCGCCTTCCTCGTAACTTCCTGGCAGCGCGGAATCTTCCAATACGATATTTTGATTGATCACATAGATGTTGTGATCGGTGACAGCGAGTAGCCTTTAGAAAATCAAAAATTGGACATAAAAACCCTCACAATCAACCATTCACACCTTTGTTGTGGAGTTCCCGCAGCGAACTGTTGGTATATATGATACATGTGCAATAGACGCTCTCCTTCGTCTACGTAAACGTTCATAGCAAGTTTCAGGATGTCACCGGAATGCAACCTTAAATCCAACACCTTTATGTACAGATTGCCTCCTCGCCTGCTCCTGCATCATCAGTTGACCAGTAACCTATGCCCGACCAGTCAGACACATATGAGAGAAGGGGGAGGGGGGAAGGAAGATGGACCGTCTGCCAATTTCAACAATATCTGCTACTCACATCACTTCTCCCTCGACCAAAATATCGTCCTCACTGTGCTTCTCTTGCGATATTTCGTCGTAATGAAGCAGGCTATCAAATGACTTTGTGTCGTCGCCAAGGTTTTCTATTTTCAC